TGTACTTTATGTAAAATCTCAATTAAATATTCAATAAAGATAGAGGCATGACCTCACCATTAATATTAAAAAAAAAAAAACTAATAAACAAATTATATAACTTCTAATTAAAAAAACCTTAGTGCCAAATAAATTAAAACTTTTAACCTTATTGAAAAATAATGATAAATTTATATTTTTAGCTTTATTAACATATTTAGTATGATTAGCATTAATTTTTTAACCTTATTGGCTATATTTATATATAATTAATTTTAATTAATTTAGTTATATTGTGAATTTAAAATTAAATATATTGTATAAAAAAATTTTAATAATATTTAATAATTAGTAAATTAGAATAAATAACTTAAAAAATATAAAAAAAGATCTAATGACACAATAAAAGACCTAGTAATATAAGAATATTTAATGAATCAAAAAAAACTTAAGCATAAAAAAAATTAACAATACAAATAAAGTTAATAATACCAAAATATTTGGCAGTACAAAAAGACTTAGTATATAAAAAAAGATCTATAGATAAAAAAAATGTAAAAGGTATATAGAGATGTAAAAATACTAATTGTAATACTTATTAATATAAATTAAATATTTAATATGTAATTAGTAAGAACAATCTTAATTAAATAGAATAAAATTACTATTTAAAATATTTAATAAGAGATAAAGCTTTTTTAATAGCTTTGTTAATAATAAAATATATTCATTTATATATAAGTGATTAATTGTTTTAATTTGTTGATTCATATATTATAAAATCTAGAATCTTCTAATTAACATTCTTATAAATAAAAGATGTAATCTTTAATATTCATTTAATATATTTTTAGAAATTACTTTAATGTTTATTATTACCTATTTTGGTTACATGTCATATATTACTTAGACTAACTTCATAATCAAAGTTATTTTTTATTATTAAATAAATCCAAAAAGCAAAATTTTAGTATTGTCTAACTTTAATCTTGTCTTTATCTAACTATTTTATTTTGATACAAAAAGAATAATTTTGATTTGCATATTAAACCAACTATAGTATTATAGCTCTATAATTAATATTGTTACATTTGTCTTTTAGCAAGAAATTTTTGACCTTTTAGTGAGATTTGGTAATAGTAAAAGTTCCAATGATATCATTAAATTTATTTCAGTGACTTGATAACACTGCTATGTAATAACACTGTTTATAATAATATTTCAAAGTTATATTTATAATGTATATACTTAAAAAGGATTTACTTTATTTTATTTATTATATATTTAATAAAAATACAAAAAATAGTTTAAAACGTGGTTTATGACATGTTTTAAAACAAATATTAAAAAACTTTTTTTGCCACTTCTACATCTTTCATTTAGAGTTAATAATAATTTTATATGGTTTTTTTTATTCTAATTTTACATAAAAAAATTTTACATGTAATAAATAGGTGACAAATTGTGAAATTATTATGAAAAAAAATCATTGTTCAAAGTCTTATTCAACATAAAACCTATCCTAATAATTATATTAAGTACATACTTAATAAATAAAATAGTTTACCAACTATCAATTCTCATAGTATTATCTTCACTAAGAGCATTTAAATGCATTTTAAACACTTTATCCAATAAATGTGGTTCATGAGCAGCTCCTATCTTCATACATCTTGTTTCTGCTAAATTTAAATAATCATTCAAAATTGGTTTATATTTGGGATGTGCGCATTTATCAATGATTACACGTGCACGCTCGATCGGAGCTAAGCCACGAACATCAGCTAGACCTTGTTCAGTTACAAGAATATCAAGATCATGTTCACTAATAATTTATAAAGTTTAAACATGAATATTATAAATTTATGAAGATTGGTAATGAAAATTTAATAGATGTACATACGTTTGATCGACATGCGAACACATTGGCACTATACAAGAGATGCCTAAAAAATAAATTTATATTGAATTACCAAAAAAAATTCACCAAGATTAAATTACTATAAATTGAATCATGAATATATAAAATTATTTTACCTATAGGATCCTTTTTTGTGGGTCTTGTAGATGGTGTATGTACAATACTGAGCTTTGCATTTCTTAAAAAGTCATTCGAACCACCAAGACCATTTAACATTTTTGTCCCGTTCACATGAGTTGAGTTTGCGTGTCCATATATGTCAAACTAAACATTTTTTTAATTAAAAAATGCAAAAAATGTATCCAATGCAAAATAAATTGAAGGAAAAAAATAAGCGTTACCTCTACTGGAGTATTCATGGCAATAACACCCAATCTTCTAATTATTTCAGGTGAATTACTAACACTTTGACTTCTAAGAACTAAACGATCTTTTAATTCTCCCCACATTTCATAAAATCTTTTAAATCCAGCTGGTGAAAATGCTACACTTGTGGCTGAAGCGAAAGATAATTTGTGATGTTCCCAAAAATCAAGAAACGTATCTGTTTGAAAGAATTTTAACATTTTAATCTAAAATGTAACTATGGAAAATATGTAAATGAATTTCAGTAATAAAAATAAAGACCTTGAATAACTTCAGTCCATACTTCAACATCAGAGAAAGGCCCATCAGCAAGACCGCCAATGATTGCATTAGCGATATTTCCGACACCAGATTGAAGAGGAAGAAGTTGTGGTGGCATTCGAGCCATTGATACTTCATGTTCAAACAAATCAAGGATATGATTGGCAATATGACGAGATGTATCATCCTTAAAGGGCCATAGAAAAAAAAAAATTAAATAATGTTTTAATGTAATAAGAAATAAAAAACTATTACCTGAGGTTCACTATCAGATGTATGATCAGGTAATTTCGTTTCAATGACCGCAATAACTTTATCAGCGTCACATGGAATAAAAGTCTTTTATAAAAAAAGAAATAAATATAAATAAAATACACTGATTTGCAGAGAAATAAATATAAATAAAATACACCGATTTGCAAAGAAATGAATGAATGAAATAAATACCGTTCCAACTCTGTCATCAACTCTTTGAATTAAATTTGGAAATTTATAGGGAGCAAATGAGCTTGAAGTAATATCATGTAATCCTTCAAAATTTGGTAATTCAGTATTAACTTCGATGATGATATTAGCAGCAGATTGTACGATTTCAGGGGTGGCACCAACTGAAGCGCCGGGAATGATATGTCCTTTTTCTGTAATTGCAGTTGCTTCAACTATCGCCACATCTAGTTTTTCCATAACATTACCCTATTTAAAATATATAGACTTAGAATAAAAATAGAAATTTCCAACATTTTAACTAACAAATTGTGAATATACCTTCTTCTCAAGTGTATAATAACCAGATATTAAATCCTTGTATTAAAAAATATAGAATTCAACTAAAATTAATAATGGTATTTATAATCGCAAGATGAGGATTATTCGAAAATTATGTACCAAAGGAAATTCTGAAAGATGTTTATCCGCGAATTTGATAGTATTTTTATTAATTTCTTTACGAAGTAATTTACCAAGCTGATATGGATAACGACGTGCTATCATTCCATTCTAATATAAACATGATAAAAAAATTAAAACCTTAATTTTTATTAATTTTTATATAAATTATATGAGAATAATAAATTATTCACCTTTGCCCATCTTTAAGTTCGAAAAATGAACAAAAATCAGTGATAAAATTAATATTTTTATTAAAGAAAACTCATACAGGAGAATTCCCAAAATCCTGGATCGGAATCTTGGTCTGCTGGGCTGAAATTTCGCCTTTCATAAAAAATGCTTAGCTAATGCGTAATTTTGCAATAGATTACGTTGTAATATTGCTTAATTGGGCCCAGCTCCGATGTATTCTGACCAGAAATTTTGGAAATTGCATCATGTGTTATAAATGTTGCGTTTGAAGTTGCCACCTGCCTGAAGTTCCTAATTTGGGATAATCCCAGATGGGACAATCCCAGAAATTACTAACGCTAATTTCAGGTATATACGTACATACAACATAAACACTAACACTAAATAGGAATTGAATATCATAAATCATACGATTTTATAAATATACCTGTCCTCAGCTTCAGCAGCAGTACTGGCACCAACGAATAAGTCAAACTTTAATTTTCCTTGAAGGTTATTTTTTTCTACATGTTCTGCAAGTGCTATTGGTGTAACTTTTGGATAACCTACTCCTGTGAATCCAGACTATTAGAAAAAAAATTTGGTTTAATTCGAAATCCTATAAGGTAATCCAATTTTTGCGATTATGATTTATTTATTATTCACCCATCCCATTCTCATTCCATCCTTAAAAAATCCACTATCAATAACATCTTCTATGGTTGTTAATTTTGAAAACAAACTCGGACGACGAACTCGTGATTTTATTCCTTCAGTTAAAAGTCTTGATGTCATTTTTTTTTCGCTATTAGTAAATTGGGTCAAAAATACACTCTTTTTATAATTTTTTCTTTTAATTCTGTGTAATGAAGTAGAAATCACCTCACTATTTTATAGTCCAATCAGATAAATTTCAAGTCGAATGATTTTTCTGTACGTACGCATATATACATATGGCATGATTTTGAGGTGCCCATCTATATGTACAGTACTGCAGTATATGAAAATAAATATTAAATCGGCACACTGTGTGATGCCAGTAATTATTCAAGGAAATTTACTTGTTGTTCATTGCTTCGTTGAGAATTTTATTGATTTGCTGATTATTTAATTAATTTTTAATTTAATATTTAATAATTGCAAATACGGTTGCCAGAGTTGGAAAGTTGCAACCTTCCATATTGAAGTCGTAAGTTTTGCCGTAATACGTAGGTGTAATGCTTGGAATGGTTGTAACCCACATTATGCTAATAAGTAATTGCGCACTTAGTCACGCTAAACGGGAAATTGACGAGATTTCAGTGATTTTAAAATTTTGCAATTATTATGGAATTAACGAATATGATCTCAAAAAAAAAAAAAAAAAAACTACGTACGTAGGTTGCCAAATAACTGTGCACACTACCAATAATAATGAGCATGTCCAAAATCTATACTATATATTAAAGCTCTACCGCTACAATGTGCCTATTGTGTTAAAAGTATTCTGACTGACTTGCTTATACAAGCACTCAAATATGAGTACTCTTAAAATAGAATCCCAATACAACAATTTTTTATCATTAAAAAACTTAAATTCATAATTAAATTTTATAGTTGGCCTTTTGGATATTAGGATTATGACCTGTCAGGATTCTGTTTGTCAGGTCTTTGGTCTGAAACCACTACAGTTACAATGATCACTTATAACCATTACGACATATTTACAACTTTTAGGTTGTAATTTGTAATATCCGTAAACTTACCTAATTGCAAATTAGTTAGAACAAAAATAAATCTTTTAAGTTTCTTTCCTCTATTCCTTGTAAAAAAAAAAGTATATATAATCATTGCCGACCCTAGTTATTATTTATATTTACTGTCGCTGTCCTTTGCAAGTAAAAAAAATTTATTGTTAGTGAATCTTATGTATTTTTTCAGGGAACTCATTTATTTCAAAAAAAGGAAAAACACGCTTTTAGGCGAAAACATTTTTTATTCATACTTATTCACATTATTGGATTTCTGAATCTACCGGAGAGGTACATACATGCGTACTGTATGTGCGCAAGATTTCAAAATTATCAACATGCAGGTCATGGTTTTTTAAGTATGTGCATAAATTAGGGGCGACCCCGAAACTATTGTCGATATATATTTTGTACCTCAAAGTCGCTGCTCTGAGTCATTCACGATTTAGGTCGATTCCGAATTGACCTAGGTCATTTCTTAATTGATGAAAGTTTTTAAAAATTTGTTATAAGCCCAAAAGATAAATTATATAACCCAAGTAATAATATTAATTATATTATTAAAGTTATTTTGTAGGAAAAAAAACAAACTTTTACATAAAGAAATCAAAAACTTACAAAAATTCTTTATAATAAAATTTGGTTATATTAGAAAAAAATGCCTTAATGCTTCAAATAAAAAAAAAAACCATACTGTGTAAATAAAAAATGCGCAATACAAATAAATAATCCACATAATTAATAAAAAATGCACAATACAATACAAATAAAAAAAAAAAAAGCTCAATAAAAAAATTCACGTTAAATCATAAAAAATTTTCGACAGGACAACTTGCGTTCCAGGTAGTTTAATCGTATAAAGTTCTTCAGTTGCACTAACGTAAATAATTTTAAAATTATGTTACCCAATATTTAAATTTTGAATTATTTAAGTCGTTGAGATTTTTAATTATAGTTAAACAATGATTATATTTATTTTGATCCAACAGCGATTGTTTTTCCTTTGATGAATAAAAACTTTTAATATTTGATCAAAGGTTTCACACATCAAAAGGTCGTAACTTTCCATTTAAAAAATTAATAAGAAAAAAAAGATGCATTTATCGATAAAGTTAATCATTCGAAAAGGTTTATAATTTTTGTTTTTTGCATTAATTAATTTGACATACGTGATAATTCTGGATTCTAAATTTTTGGGACCCCTTTCTGAGTATTAGGAGTGACAAATAAGCACCAACTAATCTATTTATATAAATAAATTTGTTAGTGATTATTTGTCACTCCGATGATTGGTCACACCTGATCCTTTAATTACGCGGCGTTGCACCGCCGTGGGTGTGAAAAATAATTGTGACAAATAAGCACCAATTAATTTATTTATATATTAAAGTAGTTGATATAAAATGACCTATGCTGGACCAATAAGTTAATAATTTCAAAAAGATGTGCTTCATTTAATATTATAAAAAGCGGTTATGAAACTAAGCCAATAATCCAAAGGCTATAATGGATGGTAAATTTATTTTAAATTACCAAAAAATATTCAAGATATTAAAATCAATTGTTACATTTATTTCATTATTACTATCACTCTAAAAATATTTGAACTTTAGATAAATTTTTTTGCAAGATAAAATTTTATAATTGTCGTGTCAGGTTGTTCTTGATTATTCTTTGAACATGATTATTTAATTTGATTCCTTTTTTCATCCTGTGCAGGATTTGGGTTGTTGATCTGACAACGACTTATCGTTATAAAAAACATTTTTGTTGATTTTTAATGTGCGAAAATTTTTTTATTCGTTATTGTATAATGATAACGATAATGAATTTTTGATTTGTAATCAAATTTGCCAATAATCAAATCTGGAATCACGTACCGGCAGATCTGTCCGGCTATCATTTTTTGCGGCAATATCACGGGATAATCTACAAAAATCGGCCAATCGCAATGGAAGCCCGCTATGCGGTCCAAACCGGGGACCAGTTTCGGTCTTTTCAGGACCGATCCAACCCTGCTTCAGCCGAAGACAGCGATAAATTTCCTGAGATTTCGGGTAATGAGCAAAGTTTTAATTGGTCCAAGAATTTATGATAACAACTACGGTCGATACTGTCTAATTGCATGTTATCCGTCAGACTTTTTTATACATAGACAGTATATGCATTTAAAAACTAAAATCTTTATGCATTTAGTTAGAGAGTATCGGTATATGCAATTAGATCGTATTGGTATTCGACTGTACGTAAGAAAAATCCGGTTATTTAATAAATCCGGATTGTGGTGTTAATTCTAACCTGAATTTAGAATATGCAGCCGTCATAATTTTACTAACATTTAACGTTAACGTTAATTTTGTATAGGTTGCATAACAATAAACCACCAATGATAATAACTCACTCATTTAACGCTAACGTTGTTTACTAATGCGGAATGTAATAAACCAGGTAAATGATTCATTTCAAAAGAACTGGAAATTTTATATACAAAAATAGTTCCCTTTATTTAGAATACATTGGCAATTTGGTTTTTTAATATATACATATATATATTTATTGATATTGATAATATAAAAAATCCATCTGGATACGTATAAGAAATATATATCTTTTTAATTCACTCGGATTTTGTAACCATAGTAGGAACTTACGTTACAATGCTACATATCACAAATAAGAAAAAGAAACGTAGCACCCATTAATACATAGTAGAATATTACGATTAACGCTAGCGGATCTTTTGTACGTAATATAATCATTAATTAATACATTTTTTTTATTGAGTAGGTCATCTATAATGCGTTAGCGTTCGTATGGACATAAGTACGTTTTTGCTATAAAAAGAGCTGAAAGTAATTCCCCATTTAGGTAGTGAACGCTCAGTTTTGTCCCGAAATATTATTAAATATTATTTTTAGTTTATCAAAGTGGCTTATATTAGTATGCCATTATACCAATTGTTTCAGGATTTATTTCCCGCTTGGGTTACACAGTGTTACAAACTAATAGCATTTTGAAAAATTTAAATATTACCTTCTTTTTTTTTTTTTTTTCAAACTCTGAGAATTCAAAATCGCATTTCAAAAGAAAATTTATTTTATTATCTTGATGGAAGCTGCAATTCATCAATTCAGGAGGGCATGCCCCTTCCTTCATAATAATTCTACCGCCTCTCTTCGCAAGCTTGCTCGTATGCCTGCACATGTTGGTTTTTCTGAAGCCGGAAATGTGCGTGGTAATGCCTTGGTTTCTATGGCACAAAAGTGTCCCGTTATGGGCAAAGCCATGGCTCTTCAAAGCAAGAGTTATCTTCATACCTCCGCTAAGTTGGCGAAACAACCTACTTCTCCTTTGAAACAAGCTTCAGTCGTTCAAGAAAACCGAGATACTACTCATCGTGATGCTTATTCATACAATCAGCAACAACCTGTAGTTCATTCTACCAATGCTCAGCACTTTGATTATGAAGCTTTATATAAGGATGAACTTGATAAAAAACACCAAGATAAAAGTTATCGTTACTTTAACAACATTAACCGATTGGCTCAGCAATTCCCCAAGGCTCATACCGCTAATTTACAAGATGAAGTGACTGTTTGGTGCAGCAATGATTATTTGGGAATGGGCCGAAATCCCATGGTTCATGATGCCATGCAGTAAGTTTGAATTTTCACATGAATTTTATTACACTATTATTCTTTAATTTAATGTTACTCGATTATACAGGCGTACCTTGCACAGATACGGTGCCGGTGCAGGTGGTACTCGCAATATTGCAGGAAATTGTGCTTTGCATTTACAACTTGAAGCGGAATTGGCTGACCTTCATCATAAGCCTGGTGCCCTTTTATTCACTTCTTGTTATGTTGCTAATGATGCGACATTGAGTACTTTGGCATCAAAGCTTCCCGGATGTGTCATTTTTTCTGACGCTTCTAACCATGCTTCCATGATCCAAGGAATTAAACATTCTGGTGCAAAAAAAATGATTTTTAAACATAATGACTTACAGGATCTTGAAACTAAACTTCAATCTGTTGACATTAAAACACCCAAAATTATTGC